TGACGCCCAGCGCGACGTGATACAGCCATTGTGATTCTGCTGCTACTACAGCTGCTAATGACGTCGTCACTGTTTTAATACCTCGTGCGTGTGCGTATGGGCCAGCGGGTAACCAAGCGTGTTCTCTGTCTGCGTATTTCACTGTCCGATTGTCGTTGTGCGTGCGTGAATATAGCTGTTAGCCGACAGCAGTGGCTAACAACGACAAGACGCGAGAATACCGGCAAGAGACCAGACCCGCTGATACATAATAACACACAGGGGGATTGCGCACGTTGAGCCAATGCTGGTTCCCGTACATATTGCAGTAACCAAGGTCATTTGTCGAGACCGCGATTACTGTGCCGACAATTGGATAGAAAAGCCGGTGAACAAAAAAGAAAATGAAAGCAAACAAAGAAACGAAAAAGCCAAAGAAAGGCGCTAACTGCAGATAACTAGTTCAGTAATTAGCGATGATTTTCGTGCCTGTTGGCAAATGTGGTAAACAACTGTGCTGCTGTAGTGTGTATGCGTGTTTTATAAGAGGGAGGATAGGCGTGCTGAAAATAACACAGAGCGTACACACGAACTTCAATAGAAATATATAGGATTTTATACGAATGCGACCAATAAAATGGATATTCGAGTAGGCACACTTGGGAGCGAGCAGGAACCGTCCTATCCGCTGGAAAAAATGCCTGCCCAGCTTTAGGTCGCAGACAGACAACAATAGAGATAGGTTGTCATGTCTTCTTTCTAACTTCTACGATTTGATTTCTAACTTAAACTAAGTGTAAGCTGGCGTTGGTTCCACTAAGTCGAGATCATAGAGCCGTGTCATTGACAATCGATAAAAAACATTTTGTACTTTTACCGACTACGCCGTGTTGTTTTTTTGGTTTGAACTTCGAACGCAGTTCACTGGCCGCTGGTTATTCGTGAATTTTCTTCACCACTGTATGTACTTAATAGTTACCATCTTAGTTCATAACGTCTGATCACGCGGCCGTATGCAAAAAATACTCCCCTTCACTGCATAGCTCTGTATAAGTAGGTATACACTTGTATGGCGTTATTATCTAGAAGTGCCATCATTTATACCGTCGCCAGATCTGTTTCGATTTGTTTATCCGCGTTGTCTGTTGGCCACAGATTTAGTGTTACGTTCACCTGTGCACTATCCAGTACAGGTCGCTTTCCACTCATATGAGCAGTAGCGTCGATGCGTTATTGTTGTCGCCGAATAGTCTAGCTGGCAATGGCTAACCGGGTGGCCAGCAATCGTGGCAGTACTAACAGCGACGGAGCCGGTGTTACTTCCACTGGAAAATCTACTGCAAACGCTGACCGCGATGATGCTCGTAAACGGCGAACGGACTAGGGATGGCTGCCGGGGAACGTTATCGACGGGGTGAGCGATGGCAGTTCACCATTGGCGGTAACAGCCGTACTATTGAAATGAAACACTTTCCATACAGGCGGATGAATGGACAAACGGCAGAATAGATAATGAACCGGTTGATTGTCGTTGTTATTTTGCTCGTTGGCAACGTCGTCATCTAAGACATGGTCTCGGGTAGAAATTTGGCCCAAGAGGTAAATCAATTAGGATTTTTTACTCAGGAAAATGTAACGAAGAGGTAAACGACAATGTTGTGGTGCCTCATCCAACAAACTGAATCGGCGACTTTGATGATAAAGGAAATGACAAACAGACATTACAGCGTTGGTCAACGTCGAGGGCGAATGAAACACTAACAGTCAACAATACCCGTCTTTTTGCCCGAGGTCCTAACCCCATTGTCTTTCGTTAGTACTGGTGGGATTCAAAAAGGCGCGCGTTACAAACGTCGACTACGCGATAAACAGCTTTGTTGTTGTTGTTGTTCAGCAAGCTATCCCTTTGGTTAGTAGATATATTAGTAATTCTCTAAACAATTATTTTACCTTCGGTTAGTTTTCTCACAAAGGGTCGTTGCTTTTCTTCTATATCTCTTTTGTACCGTAAAATCCGAAAAACAAAGTGGCTCAAGGTACATAAGAAAGGCGTTTATCTTGTAAGTGTTGCGTCCAGTTAACGATTCAAGTAATCCATGTCGACTACTTGCTACGATACATTTCGAGAAGCGGCTGGCCGCTCAGGCACCGGCCCATTTGTCACCGGCGACTATTTCAAGCAGACAGAGGACAGCCGAGTATTGTACATAGAGTAACTTGCTTTCATTAACTTTTTTAAATTTTATTTTATAAATAATTAATTTTCTTATATATATATATATAATTAATTAACTTGAAAAAAAAGCTTTACTGAGTCAATTCAGATCCTTGTTCCACTAATATTGAGCTTTATCTGAAGAGCCTCCGACAGTTTATCAGGCTCATCTCATTGATCCACTTGAAAAACTTGTTATCCGGTACAGCAATCTTATGCTGGAATACACCACACACAACAAAATCATTTTTAACATTAAACCACTAATTTTTGCATTTGGCGCTGGTCTCATCAGCTTGAGCATTTATCTTAGATGGTGAAATATTTCAGTTCCTTAACATAAGTTCGTCCATTAAATTGATATAACTGGGCTAAGATGGAAAAAAAATTCAATTAAAATATAGCCCACAGCATCAAAGTGCACACAGGATACACAGTTCGGCAAAGAAGCAAACATACTATAGGTAGACTAGACGGCAATAATGCTCAAGACGAATATCCTTTAAATGGACAAATGCTCCAATACAAAAGATAGTAATTATGAGTTGCGGTACCTGCTTATTAGTCTAAAACATCTCTATAAGAATTGCTAAATAAGCAACAACAAAGAATAACTCCCTGAGAATTTTAGTACAATATCATTTATTGCTTTTCAATGACTTCCACTTTAGTTGTTTTTTCTGTCTCGGTCTCATCTTCTTTCCCTTTCTCTCTTTTATTTGACTATCATTTTCTTCCTCGTATATATATATATATATATATTTTTTTTTTTTCCAGCTTTAACTAGTTACGGAGTGTCTATGTCCGTGTTTATATGGATCTGTGTATAACTGTCTTTGTATATATAGTATTTATAGAATCGTACGCTTCATCTGAACAATACCGATAATAATAATAATAATAATAATTAGCATTATTATTATTATTATTATTACCTGTCGTAACTCTATCAAACTAAACTTTTTTGCGACATTCGCCTAACTCGGCTTACAAATAACATTTTGCATTTAGCCCTTATCTTGTCAACTTGTTTCCAACTTTATATATTAAGACTAATATAGAAGTCTGTTATTTTTGTAGTTATGTTGCGTTCTCGTTTCCATCATATTTTTGTTGTATGTGTAACTTCATGTTCTTCAGCAAGTTTGCTTCAATAGCGTTTGAACTTACAGTTCCTCCCACTACTATTAATTACGTCTATA